TTATTTTTACTAATAGGAGAATGGTTACCGTGGATACTATACAGTTGGACAGTTGGACAGTTGGACATGTTCAGGTGCACTCCGAATTTGAAACTAGTCACTTTATACACTTTGTGGAGTGTTTCCAAGCTTGTTTGTCCGTATTAAAAAGGCATTGAAATACAACTTGAAGTTTGATATTCTATGATATCCGGTAGGATTCCACGCTGCTTGTACGCGTTTTATAGCATAAAATTTTGTTGGATTATTTTCTGTTGTTTATGAGTAGTAAGCAAAAAAAAACCATTTTTCATTCCCTTTCAAAAACAGAAGTGTTTCCAATTTAGCCTGCACTGTAGGCATCACCTCAACTCAACCTGCGTGCAAGAACTTTCGATGTTTCTACCCAATTTGAACTCCTTAACTTCATTTTTGCGAGCAGGAGAATATTTACAAGAGACATTACACAGATGGACTGACGGACAACCGGATAGGCGGACAAGCTTAAATCAGTTTAAAATTTTTGGGGTCTCTGAAGCTTCTTGCTGAACCTTGCAAACGTTTTGACAAAATGAATATACCCCTCATCCTTCGGTGATGAATGTAAAAGTCAGTAAAAATTAGTTGGCTGCAATTATTAAAGACGAATTTCAAAAAATAAGAAGAAGATAATCTTTAAGAACTTTCCTTCTTGCAGTGAGGACTATTTATTGTATCGTCAAGATACTTAAATCCGGCAGTACAACGACTCCTTAATACATATATAATATAGACAGACGGACATACGCACAGAAAATCTTAGATCGATTCAGAAAATATTCTGACAAAAAATTGGTCTATCGCAAGTTTCTCTGAGTCTTGCATACATATGCACACACTTAATATACCCATGTAGCACAAGTGGTGCATGATATAATAAAATTTTCATGAATAACGTGAAAGTTTGGTAAGTGCAAGGCAAGATTTGACGTCTTCTGACCTTACATTGAAAAAATACTTTGCAAAAGTTCTATTAAAGAGAAGTCATCAATAGTTAATGAAATTGACGTAAATTTTATTGTTTAAGAAAGAAGCAATACGTTGAAATTGTTAAGTAAGAAAATAGAAAAATATTGAGAAAGTTTTCAATTATTATCAAAAATTTTTGCAAATATTTGAGAAGAAATCTATTAATGTTTAATAGCATTTTATATCAAGCTATCCTGGAAAGTTCATCATCACTAACCGAAATTGTCGCTGCTTTTATTCGTTTGAATGTCGATAGGAGCCTACGATATGTGATTATTTATTCATTCGTCTTTATATGTTTGTCTTATTTAATGGTTGCGCCAAAAGAAGGGAAATATAAAATTTATTATATACTTAAAGAAACACTTTAAAGCTGTTATGTGTGATAAAATGCTTTGCATTTGAAAGCAACTATACTAAGTAGTGTTATCGAAGACTATTGCATTACTACTAGAATAGTAGATGAAATTTCCACCAAAAGCAGTAGAAAATAATTCCATTCGCAATGCAATATTTATTGCATTGAGAAAAAAAATCGATGGAATACTTGAGTGTGTTTACACTTATTTTTCATTTAATATTCTTTAGTTTCGAAAATTGCAAGATATACCTCAAATAATTGAATGGTTTTCCAATTCAATTTCATATATAACCTATCATATACATACCTCATATATAACAATATGGTAAGAATAATGAAATATGTAAGCAGTCTTTTTATGTACAACACCATAGAGTGATGATACATATATAGATCCACATACCTCCGAAAGTTTACGTGCACACATGCCATTATAGCTTAATTAAGCGGCAGACTTGCCGTCGTCCGCGACGTTTAGGTGATGAATTGTTCACCTCCGTCATACCCCAGAATGTAAAACATTTTCACATTACTTTTAGGGCTTATACCAAAGGTAGGGTATCAAATATCAAAGATTTTACATGGTCCAAATACTTCTCTCTCAGCAAGGCGAGGCATATCTAATACGTGCCATTATTTAGTGCCATAGAAATTTTGGGGAACCAGATCCACTGTGACATCCCCTATAGGGAGTAAGCAACTGTCAGCTTTCAATTCTTTCTACTCCAGCATGCGTCGAAAATCACGCTCTTCTTTGTGCAATATAATGTGTGAGCATCTTAACACCCGTGATCCTCATAGTTCGGACTGCAATGTTTTCAGATATTCCGATTTCACTCATGCTTGCATTCCGATTACCCGTTCATCCTGAATTGACAGCAAATCTTTTCTCCATAAATTTTCAAGATCCAGGGATAAATATATATAATAAATAAATATCGGGACCTAACGCGCTTCTACTCTTCCGGTACCCTTAATAATATCACAGACCTGTGATAAGTCTTGAATCTCCGTAGTACCTGATTTTTTTTTTTTTTTTTGGTAAAGAAGTCTGAAGGTAGATAATTTCTTACACTCTCTATTGCTTCTTCGTGTAGAATTCCGATCGCAGCGAAAGGTGGAGGGACACTAGATTTTGCAGTTAAAGCAGCCGAAAATATGCACGAGAGGCTCTAGGAAATGTGTACATTTTGGATAAAAGAAAAATTCTGAACCGGCTGCATGTGTTTGTATTTTTCTGCCCGCCAGTTCACTTTTCGATCTATGGGTTCGGCGGTTAAAAAAAAAAACATATAAGAGAGTTATATTCGGTGGGGGTCGAATCTCGCATACCCACCACTTAAACCCTTGGTCCACTTGAGATATTCATGTCCAAAAAATCGATTTTTTCTAAACGTCCCAAGATTTTATGTAATAAATGTCCACCATAACTAAACTAGAACTAACACAACTTATCTCCAACCCTTTTCATTTGATACCTATATCGAAGGTATTTTCAAGAAGACAGATATACACTAAATCGTGAAGTCTGCCATAATTAAATTAGAATTAACATATTTAACTTCTCGCATTCTACTCTTCAAGTCGTTTTATGTGACGCCCATATTAACGGTATTGTAATGAAAAAATTAGTTCACTAAATCGCAACGTCCGAGATACTGAATTTGGAACAAATTCTCTTATTTGATACCTATATCGCTGGTACTACTAAGAAAAAATTACACTACTAGGTTGCGGTCTCTACCACACTAATTTTCGAATTAATCTATTTTTAGACAGATAATATATCCTCATTTGAGGGATGTAGAAAATAGTTTTAAACATTTTTTACTATTGCACGTAAAAAGTAGAGTGTTTCGCAAAGTAAATGTGGGAAATTTCATCCTTCTAATTTTTTTTAATTTCTGAGTAACGATAAATTTTTGTTAAGAAAAACAAAGTTGCGTTTAATCTCTACTGCGGGTTTCTACTCTGCCTTGTTTGTCTTATGATAAATAGGCATAAAGTCTCAAAAAAGTGAAAAAAATTAGATTTTATTGTTTGTAACTTTGTGTGGGCAAGGCCGATTTTTCCTATTTTGTGAGTAAATGTAAAAAATTTCAGCCTTCTACTTATAAAAATTTGTGAGTAACGAGCAAAAACCCACATAGTTTTGTTAAGAAAAACCGATTTGCGTTTAGTTTGCGCTCCTCTGCGGGTTTCTGCTCTGACCGATTTGGCCCATTTTCAACACCAACCTGGACCCAAGAACATGAAATGTTGCTACCATATTTAAAGTCGATACCTGCATTTTCGCAATCAAGTGAATGCCAACAACAAACACCACACAGAGGGACAGACGTGGCTAAATCGATTCAGAATTTCATGCTGATCAAGAATATATATATAGTTTATACAGTCTCTGAAGCTTCCTTTAAAAAGCAAACAAAATGAATATACCCCGTATCGTATCCTATGGGTATAAAAAAAAAATTTTAATTTTTTATATACATGGAGACATCTGATATCTCCACGATTACTTCCTAACAAGCCAAAATGCGTTGTTATCCAAAACTGATATCAATATTTGCCAGCAATAAAACTTCAGAATAAGCGCGGACGCGATTGTCCTAAAAAAATCTGCTCGTTTACCAAAATCTCTAAGTTATTGTCCATAGCCGATGTCAATCAACAATTTGATATACATAAATATTTCGCAATGCCATCCGAAGAGTAAGAACGAACAAAGGACTCAAGTACTTTTAAGTGCTCTGTACATCGGACGGACAGACGGAAGGATAATAATATATATTTCTTAAAAAATATTTTTCATGGCCAGCCACTCATTTTTATTACCTTCTTTGGCAGCATATAAGTCACGCGTTCAACAAACAATTCGTTCTTTAAGCCTATTCATGAAAGGCACCGTTTTTAGTATCGCCATAAGAACGGTGAACGCTGCCTACACCGTCGATAAGGTGTAATCAAACAGAACAATGGCTAGTGAAAGTGACAAATGGGATAAACCGATTCAATGCTTGTAATATATTCGGGACGGATTTTACCCTATGTGAGTCTGATTATTCTACTTTCAATAGCTGTCTACCTCAGTGTCTTCAGTTGATATTGGCTGTGTTCCGCAGTATCAGATGGGCAAGTTGAATGCTTCATCCTCAATCCAATTTTAAAATGCAAACTTACGATCTTCAAGCCAATTTATATATATATGTATATATAACGACATTATAGATCAAGTACATATGTCCTAGCGGATGTTGGAAGGCTTTGGTCCGGTTATATCCTGAATTTTCTCACAGCTCTAGCAGTAAAGTGTAAAAAGAAAACGGAAAACTTAGGCAACAGAAAACTGTGAGTAGTTACCTCTACAAATGAAAAACAAAATTCGCTCCATCCACCTAACACGTAAGCTGCCAAATATTCATCCAAGGGGTCACTCAACAGATTACAACGGACACGTCTTGACCATGCTGAACGTTGAACGGAACGTCCAATGTAACGTGTGCGCAGTTCCTTGTAGAGATCTTGGCAACCTTATAATTTTTCACGTCATGTTAATGTCCATTATCCTCTAACTTATTAACCTACATATAAAATATTTTAAAATAGGTTTGTAAAATTGTTATCTTGATTGTTGTTTATTTTTATTTTTCAGGCACTTGATGAACTTAATTTAATACGTTACAATGAAACAATTCATCGTTACGGCCTCATAACAACAACATTAGGCTTACAGTTGACAATCGAAACGCGACATTTTCACAAAGGAACAATGAGCGTCAAATGTCTGGCTAGCTTATCTCCAATGTTTTGGAAAAGTGACAAAGAAACTGTTTTACAACGACGACAACGACCGGGTTTAATTGACAATCGCGAGGCCATGTTGTTAGGTAAGAGAATTGTGATTATGTACATAAACAGAACGTATTTGATTTATATTCATGTAAATTTGTAAGTAGAATAACTCTCATACATATATATATATACATATATACATACATAGGCATACATATTATGTATTCATGTTCTCGGTCATATTTCACTAAACTGCACACTTTTCTGACATACGTATACTCGTTCATGCCATTCGCGTGAACCACATTCAAAAACAAATTTATTTAGAATTTTTGTTTTTATTATACGTTACGCTATATGAGATAAACAAACAAAATCAAATAAGCAGACTCCTCCTAAAGAGGTGTCACATTCCTTGTTTTGAGGACATGTAGTCTTACAAAAAAAAAAAAAGGACATTTTAGTTAAAATTGCCTTTCTCTTGACCTTCGTTCAGGAGTACAGTTACATGTTACGCTAAAAATTCTTGATTTGTTCAATAACGTTGATCGCAGATTTGGACTATAGACTATACTTTCTGTCTCATCCACACATTGGCGGCACTGATTAAAAGACTAGCCGTCTGATTGAAAATCTGATCCATAAAGTGCTCCGAAAAATTCCTTTCAGACGTCTGTAAAAGAAAATATCCGTTAGGGAGGATTTCCCATAGTCCTCGTGGGAGAACTTGGCCATATCTACCCCTTGCAAACACATGTGAGTTAGTTACCAGATGGAAGAATTTTTTCGCTTCGATTTCGCTTCAAATATTTGTGTTAAGTCTTAGCTCCCGACATTCCTCATAGGTCTTAGACTTCTATTGTGAGCGTATTTTTCGGCGAATGGCGTCCAATTTTTCACTTGGAATTTTAGCCTTCTCTGGTGAATATTTAATTGCACCCAGCTTAGCCAACGTAAGCCAAATATAAGTTTTTCGATTATTGCGAGTGTGATCTTTAACAATGGCCCCTATATTCAAATTTCGCTTGCTGCCGTCGAGTAAATAAAGTATATATGCCAAGTTTCATAAGCGTTCCAATAACAGATGGAGGAGAAACAGCCAGCCGGATGGACGAACAGAGTTCGGTTCAAAATTTTACACTGACGAGGGGTATATATGTAACAAGGTCTCAACTGCAGCCGTACCTGGGCCATCCCTCTGACACACGGGAAACGCCTATCCATTGTAATGTGTGCCTTTGTATCAGCAGAACTTTACTTAAAGAACTTTTCATTCAAAGAAAGAATTACGCGATCCGCCTTTTTATCTTCATTATTATTATTATTCTTATAAAAAATAATCTCTTTAAGTCTGAGGGTTAGGAAAAAATTGCGATATGAAGTAACCCGAAAATTTGTAGATGACGCAATCGTTAAACAATTGAGAGGATAAATTTTGCCATCAGTCATTTCTTATTCAAAATAAGATAAAATCGGTTCCTCCATAAATTTCTGTTCTTTCAATAACCTCCCGAACGATGATCTCTTGAAGAAAAACGCGATTCTTTCAATTTTTCCCCAATTTTTCATACCCCTAATCACCTATGAAAAGTTAGGCTTTCGCCTTTTCTTCGCGAAAGCGTTCGAATAGTGTATCACAAAATTGACGTAAGGAAAAGTATTGCCAACGCACAAAAGAAGACTTCATAACAGCTCAGAGTATGAGATTATTATATATGAAGATCCGTTCACTTATTAGACTGCGTTGAATGGATTATGGAACAACAATAAGTGTTTGCTGACTTATCCAAAAAAATCATCTTCAGCAATTAGCTTCATTTTCATCTGGGTGACTGTGTTAACCGATAAAATTAACGCACTTGGATATCATCCAAGGAATAATCTCCCGTCCCGCACGTGGACGGGAGATTATTGAGAAACGAATGCATCCGCTTTGCGTTACTATTTGATGCGAATTTTGACTTAGAGTCGCCAAAGAATCATGCTTCTTCGAAAATGCAGTTGGTCAGGTAACAGTGGTTAGGAGCATTCTCTCTATCACGAGATGGTAACTAACTGATTTTTCCGCCTAAATTACAAGATGTGAACTTAGCAAGGATGCCAAAATCATTGAAGGCTTTCGTGAATTTCTGGACTAACTGTACTATATCTATTACACCAGAATCTGCATAGATCTTTTTATTCATCTTTTAACACAAAATTGATGACATACTCAGAAATCTGGTGACTCTTTAAAAATATCCTAAAATACACAAAATACAGCAAATGGCACTCATTCATTCATTAAACATAAATGCCATTAAATTATCACACATTGATGCCATAATCAGTTCAGTAATAGACACAGTGGGCGCCGTTAGAAAATTCTTGTTAATTTTTGATTAATAACAAAAAAAATTTTTAACAAAACTTATATTTTTCTGTCTATCTTTTATGCTTCTCCACAGTCCACAATATAGCACCAAGCCACTTTAAAAATGATGATACTCTGGCACTCTTTGTTGTGACGTTTCTAGTGATGTTACGAGCATTTCTGTAATAATTTAGTCTTAAACGTTTCTTATATAATATGTGATTCCGTGTAAAGTGTTTATATATATTAAATAAAATAAAAAGGATGTAAGATAAATATTTAAAATGTGAAAAACTTTTAAAAATAATTAAGCATCTAATTATTCTGAGTAAAAGTGCTTCTACTCAGATGGCAAGTCGAAAATAATTGAATAGATAATAATTGTGACGTTTATTAATAACCGATCCACGCCCAATATTTTGATTTTGTTATTATAAACAGTTTGCATGTCACTTTGAAGGTCGTGTTTCGCGAAAAGTACTTGTCAAGCTTGTAAAATGTGTGACAGACATACTTCTTCTTCATACCTTTCCTAACAAGGGAATATTAAGTTTGGGGGAATGCAAGCAGAAAGACTTGAGATAGACCCACCTTTCGTTTCAGAATCACTTTCGGACTTGATTAAAGCTTCTCTATTCGTCGGTCCGTTTTCAAATTTTCGCCTAAAAAGAAGAAGATAGGTACAATCATACGATTGCAGACTAAAAATTGCGAAAATTAGTGAAGAACTTCGTCGTGGTCGAAAAAGTGGTCATATCCAAATCATTTCCAATAGCGTTTGTTCTCGCGGCAAAACATGTCGGTGTACTAAATTTCGTCGGAATATCTCGAAAATTGCGGTCAAGAGGCTGATGGATGGATGGACGGATAATTCTATTCAAAAAGTAATTGTAAATTCGATGGGTATAAGAAAGAGTGTGTCTACTTCTGGGTGTTGCATACCACCGCACAAATTTAATATACGCATTTATCACAATTGGTATATAGTAGAACGAAATTTTCTCTACATTCTAGAAGGTTCAACGTCTCTGTTAAGCCAATAAAAGCAATTCAGTGTCTACAGTGCGGTACATGTATTGTTGCTCTAAACAACCGCAAGAGAATGAATGCCTCCACGTTACCGATCTCCTGTTTTAAGTCTCCGGCACTGAGTGAAAAAAAGGCAAAAATTCAAACAAAAATTCCTCTAGGTCTTAAGCCTGTCTATAAATAAATATTTTTGCGCCCTTCTAAGCTCATTTCCATAGTATATGTAATACGCGGAAGAAAACTTCACAGACACTGTAAAGTATATATATTCTTGATCAACATGGAATTCTGAGTTGATTTAGTCTTGTCCGTCCGTCTGTGCGTCTGTGTGGTGTATCTTGTTGGCACTCTCCTGGTCGCTTAAGTGGAAATAGCGACTTCAAATATAGTAGAAATATTGGAAGTCTCTGCACGCAGATTGCTATCAAAAATGGGCGAAATTGGTCGTAGCAGAAGCCCGCAATAGAGCTTGAACTGAACGCAATAATAAATAATGAAAATTTTTTGATTTTTTGCTCATTACTTCGGAGATTAGAACCTTGAAATTTTCCACATTTACTTTACGAAATACTCTACTCCTTAAGTCCGAAAATGAAGCCAATCGGGCATGCCCACATAAAGTTACAAACAATAAAATTTAATTTTTTTCACTTTTTTGAGGTTTTATGCTTATTTATCATAAGGCAAACAAGACGGAATGGTTAAAACTATTTTGTGCATCTCTCAAATGAAGATATATTAACTGCCTAAGAATGGGTTAATTCTAAAATTAATATGATGGGCAACTCGATCTGATGATTTCATTTTTCTTTTAATTAATACTACGGATATAGGTATCAAATCAAAGAACTTGGAGAATAGGATGCGAAAAGCATAGTGGTGCATATGCAAGGTTCATCCTCCACCGAATATAACTCTTAATTGTTCTTTTTTATTCTTCCTGATTTGTTTATACATAAATTGTTTTTTAATTTCTTTTTTTTTTTTCTTTCACTTCTTCTTATATACTTTATGCTGGTTTATATTAATAATTAGTATAAGAATTACCTTTAAGAGTCAATTGAATTCGGCTATTGATTTATTTTCTTTGAAAAAAAAATTATGAACTGCCTTGCATTTTGAAAAGAGTGTTATGTGTAAAAAATATGCAACATCTAGCCGAGTGGGTAAGAATCTTGAAGTCAGTGTTCGAGGGTGAGAATCTCAAGAGCAGTGGAGTGTTCTTTGGTGCGTAGCTGTAGCGAGTGCTTAGCCGATAAAGAACAACACAAGTACCGATTGCACGCACACTGCTCTCTCTCTTTGTGTCTTTCCTCAATTGTTTCTCACCGACACCGTGCTCGACTAATAGGAGACCGTGGCCTGAGCAATTGTTCATTTTACAAAAAAAGAATAAAAGGTATTGAATGTAGTGGTTGTGAACATAGGTGGTTGCAAGCGGTTGAAAAAGTGGACCGATTCGAACCATTTTCATTAGCGTTCATCCATGTCAATGTAAGAAATTTCGTCGAAATGCCCTAAAAGTTTGCGACCTGAAAGGATATGGGCAGACATCAGACGCGCAGAACGACAGACAAGCTTAAATCAATTCATAGATTGATTCGGAAAGTTATTCCGAATCGATTGTTACGCTGAAAAATGTATGCATATCAACTCCTTCAGGTTGCTACATATATACGTACAAACTTAATATAATCCTATACCCTAAGCGCGGCATAAAAACAATAAAAATTTATAGTATTTGTGTTGCGCTACGAAATTCACTCTGCATTATCTTGCAATCATTTGCAGATTTGAAGAAAACCCCATAACATTTCGCTTGAAAAGGCGAATTAAAATAAAACAAGAAATTTAATTGAAAATTTGGGAAAGATAAAAATGATTTTAGTTACGTGGCGGATGTCGTAATACGCATCGGATATATGTACATATCCGTATACTTTTATGATCAAGCTATCTGTGAACTTAATCAAATGCTCAAGCAAAGTTCACAATGAATCATCATTTGTTATTGATTGACTGACTCGCAGAAGAAGAGGAAGATTGAAACAAGTCTTTTTGTCACGCGTTAGATTTTTATATAAAAAAAAAAACTTATTATTTTTTGTTTTTATTTAATTCTTGCGAGAAGAAATGCGTGTTTGGTATCACAGATCTGATGAAAAGTTTGTGAAAGCAGCAGAGAGGCGACCACCACCGCCACATCCTTTGACGAAATTCAGTTTTCGCCTGAATGCAGCAACAAGAGGCTTTTCAGATAGTTTCAATAAGAAAGATGTGCCCATTGTCTTTAAGTGTTCGCCCGATACTTTGCTCAATTTGTGTTCGAAAATAGTAGATGCCATGCCATTGGTCAATATTTACGAATGGAATATTGAACATATATGTCGTTGGTTAAGACAATTGGGTTATCGGCAATATCAGGTAAATGTAAACGGTTCAAATACAGTTCAATTTTGTATAACAGTAACTCTGTTACGATTATAGAATACATTTCGTGAAAATCTTATTAATGGTCGAACGTTGTTGCTGCTAGATGCTTCGGCTTTATCCGCCATGAATATTAGAGATTTTACTCATACACTTGACATTGCATATCGTATACGATTGCTCTTCTTTTACGAGATGACCACATTTGGACGTAGTATTAGCTTGCCATCTGAATTTTTATTTGAACTATACAAATTATTTCGCACAAAAACGGGGAAGAAATATGAAGATGTAAGACGCGTGGATTTATGGCGTCGTATGCAAATAATACGAGAGAAGGCTCCCAATTACTCACACTGGGAATTGTTGGAGCGTTTATTAGCAAAAGAAAAGGATCGAAAATCGTACGATCGTTTTGGATATGCGCCACGCCATAAATTATATAAATGTAGTAATACTGTTACCGTCGAACCGGAAAAACAGAGCAAAGCAAAAAAACTTGCTTGCTATTGTTTACCGCCTTGTGACTGCCACTGGAAACCTACGGACTTACGCGTGCCATGGCGTTTTAAATTTCTTTCTTATTTACCAGCTGAGGATGGTGAGTTTGTATTAAATTGCCCGACTTGTTTAAACCCTTGCACTTGTCGTTGGAGTTCCAAAAAGTTCATGACTCATGGTGTGCTTAGCTGTTTGCGAAAGGCCTTTCCTCAAAAATATAGTGGCACATATCAGCCACCTTCGGCAGGTCTGAGCAAAATTCGCGTTTATCGCTTATCAGCCTCCTAAATTCATTGTAATTTTCTTAATTAATCATTTTTTTTTCAATCGCATAGAAAATTCAAATAATAAGGTGTATACCGCAGACAGCACATTGGACTTTCATATCAACTTTGTTTTAAATTAAAATAATCGCACACGTATTTATATGTCCTCTAGTAAAGAATTTTCCATATTCGATTGCAGTTCAGCTGAGATAAAGGGAAGTTATTATATTTAATGTGATAATAAAAACTGCTCTGTGTTGCAAGCGATTCTTAAATTACCCTCTCCAGCCTCTGAGGTCGAAAGAAGGAAATATGAAGAATTAAAAGCTATTAAAATATTATAAATTTTATACTGATAGCTGCGCTCCAATCGAATTCTCTTCCGAACGAAAGCAACAACGTATGAGCTTTAAGGTAATACACTGACACCATGTCTGCAAATAGTTGATATGTAAGTCGAAAGTGCTGTGTGTGCATACACTCTAACACATATCCCGAATATATTTAGTGCAAATGAGATTTAAGTGCTCT